TATTTGGTCTGATTGTCCTTGCTTTTTTGTTGGCCTATATTATCTGCTAGCCTATATTATCACTTTTCATTCTTCCACACTGAGCCTGTGTTTATGGTAATAGTTTAGGTGTGTTATTCAGAGACCAGAAGGCAAAATTTTGAATCCTAATCTCTACAGCTATTCTGTGACTTTGATAGAAAAGTTCAGCCTATTGACAGATATTGCTGATGTGACAGAACTTGTTAAATTTAAGGTTTATCCAGTACCTATGCAGAATTGGTTTGGATGCAAATTATGTCTTTAACGTTTTTTTTTTGTCTGTCATTGACTTTTATTCTTCAAATCTGAGTGGTAGCCTTACAAGCGAAAGGATTCTTGGTTGAAGGTTCTTTTAATGTATATATTATTCCATTCCCTTCTTGCTTATTTTTAGTTTGTTTGTTCATTTATTTGTTTTGCATTTTGGGTCACACCCAGCGATGCACAGGGGTTACTCCTGGCTCATGCACTCAGGAATTACTCCTGGCCATGCTCAGGGAACCATATGGGATGCTGGGAATCGAACCCGGGTTGGGTGCGAAAGGCAAATGCCCCACCCGCTGTGCTATCATCGCTCCAGTCCCTGCTTCTTGCTTGCTGAGTTTGAGAAATACGACTTGAATTTGTGTCGTTTCCATTCTGTTTGAGACTTTGCATCCCCCTTGCAGTTTCTCTCTCATGGTTTTGGACACTTCGATGCAATGTATCTTGCTGCTGTTCCATTTATGTTGTCTGGCACCCTCTGGGTGGCCTGGATCGGTTATTAGGGAAGTTGTCAGCTACGATCTTTTCCACTAGGTTTCCTCCCTTTTCTCTTTTTACTTTCCTTTTGGAATTCCTGTAATTTGGTGGCTGTTCTTCTTGCTGTTGTCCATTAAATACTCTCTTTTTTATATTAATGGTGTCCTGTTTCTTGTCCTTAGCATTTACCTGAACACCCATCAACTATGTGCTAGTGTACAGTTGAATTCCTTCCTTTGGGTTGGTCAGTTTGTTTGAAATTCCTGTTGCTTCTGGTGCTTGGTGGCTCTGTGGAGCTGACACTGATCTGGTGCTCCTACTCACAGGATCAAGCAGGTGCTTATACGCCTATACTGATTTCTAGTATAGAAATTTTTTTTTCTAGTATAGAAATTTTCACTGTAGCCCTGTGAAAATTTTTTGGATGGATCGATGATGGCAGAGCTAGGACACAAATGCTGCCCGGACAGAGATAGGAACTGCTGGAGTCCAGCACACAGAAGAACTGTAGGCTCACGGGTGGAGGGTGGCTGTGGGGATGAGGCGGGGAGGTCGCGAGGCACAGGAAGGGGGTCAGCTGGAGCAGGAGGCAGGTGGACACGGTCTGGCAGGGAGCGAACTCAGGGACCGGACCTTGAGCGGAAGTAGGAGCATGAGGGGCAGGCGGTGACCTGAGAATAGGACGGGGCAGTGCAGTAAGTGGTGGAAGTCACCGAGGGGATCCCTCACTGGTGCAGGTTTAGACTTTAAGAGACGTGATTACTCTCATGTCAAGTGCTTTATCAACAAAAGAGGGAGCCCTTGAGCTGGGAAATTTTGAAAGCTACTGGGATACTTTTCAAAGAGGGAGAGAGAGAGAGAGAGAGAGAGAGAGAGAGAGAGAGAGAGAGAGAGAGAGAGAGAGAGAGAGAGAAAGAGAGAAAGAGAGAGAGAGAGAGGAAGGAAGGAAGGAAGGAAGGAAGGAAGGAAGGAAGGAAGGAAGGAAGGAAGGAGAGAAGGAGGTTGGGTGGAAGGAAGGAAGGAAGGGAGGAGAGAAGGAGGTTGGGTGGAAGGAAGGAAGGAAGGAAGGAAGGGAGGAGAGAAGGAGGTAGGGTGGAAGAGAGGAAGGAAGGAGGGAAGGAAAGAAGGAAGGAAGGAAGGAAGGAAGGAAGGAGGGAGGGAGGGAGGGAGGGAGGGAGGGAGGGAAGGAAGGAAGGAAGGAAGGAAGGAAGCAAGGAAGATCACTGTATCCTAATTTTATCATCTGTAACTTAGGATTGCTTAAACATGCATCTCACAAGGTTCTGAGAATTTTATGATTTAATATTTAAAATCCTTTAATAATTTTAAATAGGGGCTGGAGAGATAGCACAGAGGGTAAGGCGTTTGCCTTGCACGCGGCCGACCCGGGTTCGATTCCCAGCATTCCATATGGTCCCCTGAGCACTGCCAGGGGTAACTCCTGAGTGCAGAGCCAGGAGTAACCCCTGTGCATCGCTGGGTGTGATCCAAAAAGAAAAAAAATAATTTTAAATAGCTCATAACTGTGATTGGTACACAGAAACACATATCTTACATAAAGATATTTCCTAAAATAATATGAACATGATGACTGTTGGAGTACACGGAGCTTAGGTATATCAGCTTGTACCCATCACAGTGCTCCCGAGTCACTCCCATTACTTTGTCAGTCTGTAACCACTTCTATGCTCTCTTCCCCAACCAATTTGTAAGGTCTCATCCTTCTTAGACACTGAAGCTGTACTGTAAGTTAATATTGCCTTTCTCCTCTCCTTATGTCTTTTGAGCAGTTTACCTTAATGCAATGTCCTTTTGTATAGATACAGGAAGACAATTAATTAATATTATGCTTTATAACTTAGGAATTGATTGGCTTTGAATATTATTCACTCCTGGGCACCTGCCTTCTCAACTTAAGCCTCAGTTGCCCTCATTTGCTAGCCGTGTACTCCAACAGATGACTATCCCATAGAAAATCAAGACAAGGTGTAAATTGAAAATTCACAAGAAAATACCTTTAACTATTTAATCGCATTACAAATAAGAGAGATATAAATTGACATAAAAATTAATTCACTTTTTTTCGTTAATTTGGCAGAGGTAATCACTAAAAGAAGGGCTGCAGGATCAGATAGCACAGTGACCAGAAACATCCTCAGCATATATGGGACACTAGAGATTCGAACTCATGACAATATGCCTGCAAGATCATAAGGCTGGCATCTTAAGACACTACACTATTTCTTCAGCCCAGTTTTCCTTTTTTAGAGCTACTAAAAACTTGAATATTTTGGTAAAATACACTTTTATAAAATTTACACTCTCTTTTAAGAGTCTAGTTCGGTAGTATTAAAAACATTCACAATGCCATATTACTTTCACTATCTCCATCTCTGAAACACTTGTAAAGTGGAAATGAAACCCAATACCTCCCTTTGATTCCCCATAAGCCCCTGCCAACCAAAATTTTGTCTCTGATTTTATTTAATTTTATTTTTATATTAAAATATACGTATAATTTCGGATTTTTGGGTCACACCTGATGATGCTCAGAGGTTACTCCTGGCTCTGCTCAGGGATCACTCCTGGTGGTGCTTGGGAAACCATACGTGGTGCCAGGGATCAAACCCAAGTGAACTACATGCAAGGCAAGTGCCTTACCCGCTGTTCTAGCTCTCTGATCCCGTCTCCGAATTTGACTATTCTAAATAGCTCAAACGTGGCTTTTATACGACTAGTTTATTTCACCTAACATAATGGACACAAGGTTTGTTTCTATTTTATCATATGTGAAAAAGTTTCTTCTGGGCTGGAGAGATATTTCGGGGGTAAGTTGCTTGCCAAGCCTGGTTCAATTTCTGGTATTGTACATGGTTCCCCAAGCACTACCAGGAGTGATTCCTGAGCACAGAGTCAGGAGTGAGCCCTGAGCACCACTGGGTGTTACCCAAAACCCCAAAACCAAAGCAAATCAAAAAGTTTTCCTTTTAAAAGTTGAACAGTATTCCATTGTATGCATGTGCCAAATTGTGCTTATTTATATAAAAGAGGTATTGCTTGTCTACTTAAAAACAAATAACGATAGCCAGCACTGGCAAGAATATGAGGAAGTAGACATGTTCCTACTAGTGGTGGGAGTACAAATCAGAAGCTCTCTGAGGAGAGCAGGTCTGCTTGATACAGTATGGCAGACACTGTTGGTTGCTTCACCTTTTTTCTTACTAGTTGTATTCAGATTCTAAGAAAAAAGGGAAAACAATATTAGATTATTGTTTTCCACGTTTCAGTCCCTGACCAGGTCTAGTCAACAAGGTGTAAGAGTTGCAAACTCTGGAATCTGGAAGCAATTTCTTCCCTGATAAGGAGACACACATGGAAGTTTTTGTGTTTACCTGTTTCCTTTCTGCTGTGGCTATCTTGCCACTTTGAGGAAAAAGTCAGAACCCCAAGGATGCCTGCTCAGCGCCTTGACACCACTGCTCTGCAAAACCAACCCTAAGACAACAGGGCAGGTAAGAGCTAATCTTGTGTGAGAGTATACAGTGAGGCAGGGGCTGGAGCGATAGCACAGTGGTAGGGCGTTTGCCTTGCACGCAGCCAACATGGCCAACCCGAGTTCGATTCCTCTGCCCCTCTCGGAGAGCCCGGCAAGCTACTGAGAGTATCTCGTCCACACGGCAGAGCCTGGCAAGCTCCCCATGACGTATTGGATATGCCAAACACAGTAACAACAAAGTCTCCAATGGAGACGTTACTGGGCCCGCTCAAGCAAATCGATGATCAACGGGAGGGCCTTTACTTTACTTTTACTTATGATCAAGAGAAAAATGCAATTCTTGAAACTCTGAGTTCCAATACATAAAGTAACTTCCAATTACCACTCATATATATGATATATGGATGTACCTTTCTAGGAAATTATTCATAAATGAGAAGTATAATAATAATAATTCTACTGTTCAATGGGCTGGAGCGATAGCACAGCGGTAGGGCGTTCGCCTTACAAGCGGCCAACATGGCCGACCCGAGTTCGATTCCTCCGCCCCTCTCGGAGAGCCCGGCAAGCTACCGAGAGTATTAGATATGCCAGACACAGTAACAACAAAGTCTCCAATGGAGACGTTACTGGGCCCGCTCGAGCAAATCGACGATCAACGGGAGGGCCTTTACCTTTTACCTTTTTACTGTTCAATGCCACTTGAAGACTTTATTAAAGCTGATCAGAAATCAATCATTACCTTTCCTCGGAACAGAATCAAAAACTGCAATTTCTGATTTCTGCTGAGACATGTTGTCCATTATGTCCCCACTGTTGTGAAGACTTGTTGTAGCCTCAGGAGGGGGACAAATGGGTCCTGGATCAGGACTACTGCTCACAGCACCGTTTGCAAAGAGAATCTGAAAGAACAGTAAATGTTTAGCCTTTTCAGAAGGAAGAGGCTGGTTACTCACAAACGCTATGTGAAATGAAGGGCATGAACAGGTTTAAATGAAAATTAACCCAAAGATCAAGCATCACAAAGCAATTAAAAGGCATATTTGGAGCACAGAGTCAATAGCTTATTCATCAGCGCAATGAACTCTACTATGGTTCCTGTTACCTTCATTTTTTTCCTTTCCTTCTTTTTGTTTGTTTGTTTGAATCTGCTGTTTCACATACGCCAACTCCAAATCCAGCACTGTTTTGGTTCTAACTTTTTTTGTCCATCCAGATCTGTGGTCTACAAAGGATATTTCTTCCAGTACTGTGGGGGCAGAATGTCCTGCCCCCACGCCAGGCTGTCTTTACTGGGGCCCCTCGGAGGAGGGTGAGTTGAGTTTCCCTCCCCACCCCAAGCAGAACCCCGGCAGCCAAAAATCTCCAGAACCCAGTCACAGCCATACTCAAGGCCACTCTCCACATGCTCGGATGAACCTCACACATGAAGGAACCAGCAGAAGAACCCAGGTATGTGGGACCCGGGGCTGAGATCTCCAAGCCTGCTCGAATTGGGACTGGATCTCCTCCACCCAGATCCCCCATTTTCTAGTAGCTTGACAGTCATACTCACAAACTGCCCTGGGTGCCATGTAATCACATCAACGCCCAAGATCCAGAGACTATAAAACAAAGCTCCCAGAAGAGAGTGAGGTACTATTTCCTGGAGACCACAAAAGCCTCCATCCCTTTCGGAAAGCCCAGCAAGCTACCGAGAGTATTCTGCCCACATGGCAGAGCCTGGCAAGCTACCTGTGACATATTCGATATGCCAAAAACAGTAATAATTACTGGCCTCATTCCCCTGAGCCTGAAAGAGCCCCCAGTACACTATTGGGCTACACTATCATGCGACAGGGACGAATGAAGACGTTACTGGCACCCGCTCAAGCAAATCGACAAACAATGGGGCGACAAGTGATAAGTGACTGGGTGGGGATCAAAGGAAACCTGGAATGTTCCCCAGTCCTCTTCCCTCCATTGTAGCAATCATCTCTACCCTGTACTTAATACAGAAATACCATTTCTGTGGTAATTATGAATAAGGACGGGAGCTGCTTGGAACCCAGGGTCGAGGGCAGCACTCTATTTCATTTTTCTAGCAATTCCATTAGAGGCGTGTCATTGAGAAGTGTTTCATTTCCATAAAAGTCTCTCTACTCTCTCTTGGTATTATTTAATCTCAGTCTTTTTTTTTTAAGTTCTGAGAAGACGCCCTTTTCTTTCCCTCCCTTTATTCCCCGTATTTTGTTCTTCTGAAAATTCTAGTTCATTGATCCCCTTTCAATACCTCAACATTTTTCTTTCCCATAATTCCTTTCTCATAATCTTTCGCAATTGCTATCTTTTGTTTTGGATTGAGCCCAGGACCTCATACATGTGATGTATGTACTCTGTCCCTGAGCCATATTACACCCTTGGCCTCTACAATTGTCAGTTTTAATATCTAAGAACTCTTGGATTTTTTTTTTTGCAAAAGAGTGTCTAAAAATCGTTTTTATGGACTGCTAATGTCTCAGTGCCTCAAGTGCCCACATTTAGATTCTAGTACTTTTATTCATTTTCAAAAAAAGATTTAAAAATTACTCTTATTGCTAGATGTTATTTCTCTCATTGAATTTTGCATCATTCTTTAATAGGGTTCCTTTTCTCACAAATAGATGATTGCTGGGTTCATGGTTATATTTCTCACTGAAAAGTCAATTTATTTCACTAGTGGGGTCATGTCTGAAAGAAGCTCCTTGCCTGTGAAAATGGGGGCGGGGACGTCATCAGAGCAGGACACATGACTTCTGGTTATTAGGGTTTCTGGTTCTCATCTTCTAGAGAGTAATGTAACCTGGCTGTTAACCTGATGTTCTGAACCTAGGGCTCCATATGTGGAACATCTGTGTTTGAACTTTCATTTAGATTTTTAATTTCACAGCAAGGGATTTTTTTTTAACTCTTGCAGCAAAAGTAATAAGTTAGATGTTGTTTATTTTAAAAAAATGACAGGACCAGGAATAGGTCTCAGGACTCATCCATGGTAAGCATGTTCTCTTCCATTTGAGCTATCTCCCCAGGCTGTCTACATTTTAGGCATACTTATAGTTCTTCACAATATGATCCCATCCCATTTTCTAGAATTCTCCTGTCTTCAGATCCCTGGATAAAACAATTTGTTATTCTTCAATACTGGTGCTAATTCCTTATATTTTAGTATTTTCTATTATTTGAAGATGAGGAGAGAGGAGGAGGCTAAGTAAACATTAGGTTCTCTCTACAATCCTGGATCTTAGAAAGATCATCTTATTTTGCATTCTGTGTTGAAATGGTCATGCCATTCCATTTTCAAATGAGCGGTCTCTCTTTCCCTACCCAAAGCTAGTTTTACTTTGTGGCAAAAGAGGAGTAAGTTATCTGAAATTTTACTTTACCTCTGTGGATCCATCCAACATGTATTTGACAACAGTGCCTTGGCTGGTGATGACCCTCGAGGCCTCCTGCTCCATCAGTGGCCTCTCCTTGTAGAACTCAGAGTGCCTCACTTTCTGGGGGTAGCTCTGTCGGACCCTGATGTCACAAATAAGGTCCTCATCCATAAGAAATTGATCTGAAAAAAAAAGAAAAGGTTTACTATGACCTGGGCAGTGCTGTGCCTCGTTGGAATTTTTGTCTTCTCAGGCAGTTGTTCTCATTCTGTTGCCTGCCTCCATGTGACAGTGTAGGTTCGTGTCATTGTGACTGCAAATACTGGGCCACTGCTGTCCCTGTGATGGTGAGAGACATCCAAAGAGGTCACAAACCAGTATTTGTGGGGCACCTTCCCTCTCCGTGCATAAGCCATTCTCTCTCGGAAAAATTAGGAAGGCATTTGGCTACTGTCTTTGATGTGCCCTTTCCCTCCAGTGGTACACACATTTCTCTTTGAAAAGCTTTTGCACTGGATGACTTGTCTGGTGACCTCATGTTGTCTGGAGCCGCAAGGGAGGTCACTGACCCAGAGATTGCTCTTCCTAAGCCATTCATCAATTTGCCAAGTTATCATCTCCAATCCCTCATCTCTAACAAATCCAGATTTTGTGCAGCGTTTGTGCTCTTTGCTGACTCCCATGGACAAAAGAGCCGCATCAGCCCTTCAAAAGAGAGTCCTACTATTGAGAATTTCTGGTACGCAGGAGCTACTCCGTGCTTGCTGAGCAATTTCCTCTTCTCCGTGTTTAAGGTGGTGTGTTAATATCTAATGATGGTGTTTTGAGAACTACAGCAGGCTGGTAATAAAATGTTTTGGAATAAGGGCCCTTTGTGATGACTTGCCTCCAATCAGAAAAGTAATAACAGGTATAGAATAATAAACATTCATTGAGAAAGTTTTCTATGCTATTTATTTGATTTTATTTTCTCCACTCCAGCCCAATTACCCTTTAAGGAGACACTTGGATTCTACAGAGTTTTCAGATGGAAACATGGAAGTTGGGCTGCATTATAACCTCCCCAAAGTCACAGAGCCAGTATGTGGCAGAACTGTGATTTGAACAAGTCTCTGTGTGAACTGTTTTTCTTATTTTGGTTTTGGGGGCCACACCCGGTGGTGCTCAGGGTTTATTACTGGCTCTGTGCTTACAGATTACTTCTGGTGGTCTCAGGGGAACCACACGTGGTGCCGGGAATTGAATCCTGGTTGCTCTGCATGCCGTCATACTATTGGTTCCAGCCCTAAACTTTTTTTTTTATGCTATAAAACAACCATCTTTACTTTTATCAAAAAAATCTTAATTTAGAATAATAAATTCCAAGTTAGAAGATATTTTCTCACTTAATAAGCACACCAACCCTGCTTGATATATAACAAATATACTTTTATGACTTATTTTATGACTTGTCCAAACATCATCACCCAGGAAAGAACCTGTCTCAGCTTCTTTTTCTTTTTATACCACCTTATTTTTTTCCCTTTGTCCCAAACTGATCGATGAAGAGATACTGATACTTATTTTGGTAGATACTGTTGCAATTTTGTTCAGAGTAAAGATTCAAAATGTATAGAGGAAAAATTAAATATGCCTGTAGGCAGAGTGTGAGGCAAAGTGCCCAACGTGTTGAACTACCTTTCTGACTCCAAAGTAATTGTGAGCCACACTGTTTTCTCTGACATAGGAATGAAAATAGTAGAATGTATAATGAAATTAATAGAAAAGACAGACAAAACAGGTATTAACCTGGGGCTTGACAAGAGGTGACTGAATAAAACAATTAAATATGCTCTTGAACTTGAAACACGTTACACTTATATCAGTATTCTCTCTCTTCCTCTCTCTCTCTCTCTCTCTCTCTCTTTTAAGTTTTTGGGTCACACCCAGAGATGCTAAAGGAGTCACTCCTGGCTCTAAATTTAGGATTTATTCCCCGAGGGGCTTGGGGGTAACATAGGAGATGTCAGGAATTGAACCCAGGTGGATGTGTGCAAGGCAGGCACCTTACCCATTGTACTGTTTCTCTAGACCAGATATTGCAGTATTCTTAATGTAACTCTCAAACACTAATAGAACCTTTGACTTTAGTCTCCAGTCCCTGGTAGCACACATAACTGGTCCCATCATAAAAACCAGAACTTGTAAGTAGAAACAAGTATCATAATTCCCAAAGTCAAATTAAAGAAAAATTTAAACAAAGTAGATCAACAATATCATCCAGTTTTCTTTTAGTTGGCTGGCCAGCAAACACAACACTGAATTGTTTTTAAATAAGTATATATTTTTTCTTTGATAAGTAACATAATTATGAAAAATTCACCATCTACTGACACAATATTTATCAGACAGGGGAATACGGCAGAGAGGCAGAAGCAATTGAAAGGATTAGTTAGAATACCTTTACCTAGCTAGAATTCAAATTTCAATTCGGTATGTTCTTTGTTGTATCTTCAAATTCTACTGCATAGTGAGCTTTCTTTAAATAATATTCAAATTCAATCACCAAGGTGGGTGTCTCATTAATCTTAATTAGCTAAGTGCCATGTGCAAAAATCAACAAAAATAACAGAATCTATAAATTACATATTCATACCTGGAACAAGACCAGTTTTCCATTATCCATTAAAGGAGCACTTATCTTTACTTACTTGGCTCTCACTGCCCTATTGTTTTGAGAAGATCAGCAAATCACTAGACCGCAACTCTTTGTAGACCGAAGGGGGTCAGAGCTGCATAGTATATAAAGCACTTTCCATCATGGGACCAAGACCAAGAACATTATTTTAGTCCTACCACTAAGGAATAAAGTTATATACATTGACACTGAAATGTGTATTGCCTCAACTTCCTCATTCTGGAATTACTAGGATTTCACTTATAGTATTTGTATTTTGTCATGCATTTAGTATTTACTACTTAGATAGTGCCTGACCCATACCTGGGTTTCATCCCTGGTATCACATATATCTTCCCCCAATCCTTCCACAAGCGATCTCTGAACATAGAGCCAGGAGTAAATCTGAAGCAGCAGTGGGTGTTCTTCTCAAAATATTTTTTTTAAAACCCTGAAGGTGGGTGTGGTCTTAGGATGATACATGCAATCAACTATTAGCAACAGTGCTATAGCAACTCAATATGACGGTTGACAGTAAGTTTGCTTAACTGATAGAAAAATGCAAAATTTTGCTGCCCATTCATTTTCCTTAAAATGGTTTTTTTCCCCCTGCTTCCTTGGCCCTCTCCAACAGCTCTTACCTGAATACTCTTGCCCAAGGAAGGTAACGAGAAGTCCATTGGGGCAAGAGACATTAAGATTTTGGAAAGTGGGAGCAAAGGGAATCTCTTCAATAACAAGTTCTGGTTCTGGTTCTTCCTGAAATAGTTAGAATGTAAATTAATTGTCACTTTCTGAACAAGTTACTTATTTATAAATGAGTTATTGTCTATATTGTTCTGCTTTTCCTTCATTACAGACAAAAAAATGAACAAGTAGTTAAAAATATATGAAACACACAAACCTAAGAAAAAAATCATGTGAAATTCTTTTGTAAAATGAGAAAAAATACTCAAATAAAAAACCTGCCAACACAAATCTAGTATTATACAAAAAGTCAACAATTTCCCATCATCATTAAAAACACTGGTTTTCTTCTTTTAAAATTTAATTTAATTTTTATAAAGTTGTTCACAATGATTCATTACATTTAATATTCAAGCACCAATCCCACCATCATTGCATCTACCCACCACAATATTTTGAATGTTTCTACCCCAAATCCCAAACCATGCCCCCAAAGTACAACCGAAATAATTTTGTATTGCTTGTTATGAATAATCTGCTAAAAGTGACCCAAAAATAGTTTCCTTAGAGGAAAGTGTGTGAAGATTGTTGTATTTCACCCTACAGCCATTAAGCCCTTGTATAAGAGATTACTAACATGTTTGTTAAAGGTTTGACTGTGTGTGTGTGTGTGTGTGTGTGTGTGTGTGTGTGTGTGCATTTTCCCCTTGAGATTGGTTGCCTTATACTTTAAACCCCATCAAATGTGGTGTGCTACTCTTGGTACATCAGTGGTGTACAGTATGAGATGTCCAGGAATTCTAAAATTTAAAATATGGTTACACAGCAGATTCACTCATGGGTGAGGCTATTCTGAATTTGTGGAGAGTGACTGTGAGCATGATGGCAATTGTGTTCTGGAGTTTTTTGGCTGTGTTCACCCATTCTTGAGACTGCTGGGGCTCTGTTGCGGCAAGGAGGGGAACTTAGCCCCCCCCCCCTCACCCCCCCAGAGGTGAGACAGCCTGGTGTGTGGTATGGAGGCATCTCTGTGGCATGTTGTTCTATGTTGTTCTCTTTGGAAAGCTTTAACAAAATGGTTTTCTACTGATGTTTTCAATACATTTTTTTTGGTGTGGGGTGCACACCCAGTATTTCTCAAGGGTTACTCCTGACCCTCTACCCAAGGATCACTCCTGGTGAGACTTTGGGGACCATACATGATTTCAGGGATTGAACCCAGGTTGACTGTGTGCAAAGCAAGTGCCTTACCCATTGTATTATTGTTGGCTATTAACCCTAATAGAACAAGGCAGAGTCTCCTACCCTGTGTCTGACTGTCTCCACCAGGGCCCAACAGCTGAAGACCTCCGGGGCCCAGCCAAGGCCATGCTGGGACCACTCTCCACACACTTGGATGAGCCTCACACATAAAAGAACTGGCAGAGGAACCCAGGTGTGTGGGACCTGAGACTGAGATCTCCAAGCCTGCACGGTTTGGGACTGGACCTGCCAGTAACTAGACAGTTACACCCACCAACTGCCGGGTAACTCCAACAATGGCCAGGATCCAGAGATTATCACACTCAGCTCCCGGAAGTTACGCGCGACATCTTATCATCTCATTCCCACTTTGGACAAACTGGCAGGCTACCAAATGTAACCTGCCCACAAGGCAGAGTCTGGCAAACTCCCCGTGGTATACCCAATATGCCAAATACCAGTAACAATGATGGGTCTCATTCTCCTAACCCTGAAAAAGCCTTGAATATGGCACTTTAAAAAAACAAAAATCTCAGGGCTAGGACGAAGAAGACGTTACTGGCACCTGCTCGAGGCAGTCGACGAACAACAGGGTGGTCGTGGTCGTGGTCATTAACCCTAAGTGTTTTAGGCACCATCAGTGAAATGTCCTTTTCCTCCTCCCAAAGAAGCTTGTAATACTCTTAGGAGCACCCCTAATACCGTGAGTTTATCTTTAACCTTTCCTTTGTGCTTTTCCTCTCATTGTTAGAATTTCCCAAGTTAGGCTTAGTTACTGATAAAGTAAAACCTGGTGATTCTGGACTTTGTATTTGTAGCGAACTGCTTGCTTTTCTTTTCCCCTACAACCTTTCCGTATTTTGCTTTAGGGCAGTGTTCTTTGCTTAAACACAAAAACACTGTTGATGCTATTCTCCTAATATTTAGTTGATTGACCCTGAAATATATCCACTCCTGGGCATTCATCATAATTACTTGACTCAGACTTTAGTTACCGTAGTCCCTAAGGTCCCAGAACAGGTGGGGGACCCACCATGGGACTTGGATGGACCTGGGGCAAGTGTCATAGCTGCCTGGGCATCAAAATGGGACAGTCTAGAAAACAAAAAGCACAATCTTGATTCAAGCCATTGTGACTTAAAAGACAGGACTCCTAGGGGAAGGAAAAGCCAAATTGGTCTGAGGACTTAGTCTGGGATTTATGGTAAAGGACTTACTTACCTTCTGAACTCACAGAACTGTTTTGGAATCTTTATCTCTTACTGCATTTAACCAAATAACTGCAAGTACTAGGGAAAGAGAAAAGTAATATAGATGTCCTTGGGAGACAGAACAACTCTTTAAGTTAATTCCCCTAGGAATTGCCTCTAAGAATTGCCCCTGGGCTGGAGCAATAGCACAGCGGGTAGGGCATTTGCCTTGCAGGAGGCCATCCCAGATTCAATTCCTCTGTCCCTTTCAGAGAGCTGGGCAAGCTACGGAGAGTATCCTGCCTGCATGACAGAGCCTGGCAGGCTCCCTGTGGCGTATTCAATTTGTCAAAAATAGTAACAAGAAGTCTCACAATGGAGATGTTACTGGTGCCTGCTTGGGAAAATCGATGAACAGCAGGAGGACAGTGCTACAGTGACAGTGCTAAGAACTGCCTCTGTTGAAGTACTTTATCGCTGTAAATGATCAATCTCATCTATGTGCAGTCCTATAATCTGAGGCCCCTGAAATATTCTTTAAGTATGCTAACAGCTCTGCATTAAACAGGTCATTTTTGCCATCTATCTGTGAGTCCCCCATCTCTTAGTTCCTCTCTTGGGGAGGCCTGGCGAAGCAGTTCTCAGCCACTGAATGCATCACACATTTGAACTCACATATTCTATTTCTGGGACCTAATAAAATTAATTTACTTTAAAACTATTTAAATTAAAAAATCTATATTATACTGCTTTTAAACTTACATGTTAAACCTATCTCTTTGTAAATCAAGACAAAGTGAGTCTTCTTATAACAATACGAATTGTCTTCCCACATAGTTCATCCGTGATTGAACTATATATGTTCGCACAATGCAAAAAGAGACTGTCACAAAATCAATATCCAACTAGGATGCAAACTTAGTAATTTAAGATATAATTATCTTCAGTATGATAAAAAAGAAACTATGGAAGAATCAGTATCATAAAAATAATATCCAATGCAATAATTTAAGAAAAAGATAAAAGATAAATTCTACTAAGGTAGAATTAAACTTGCCACCACTTATCAATAACTTGATAAGATATTTTCTAGACAATAGCAAGAGGAATAATCTCAAAATCATAGGGAAAGTCAAAGAAAAAAAAAAGAACTACTGATAGAAAAGATCATAGCTTTGAACTCCAGTCACTGAAAGGAAGCAAGAGCTTAGAGCCAGGAAGTCCAAAGCTAAAAAAAAAATTATTCTTCCCATGTTAAAAATTCTCCTTTATATTGTCACTGTCACTGTCCTCCCGTTGTTCATCGATTTGCTCGAGTGGACCCAGAAACATCTCCATTGTGGCACTTGTTACTGTGTTTGGCATATCGAGTATGTCACGGGGAGCTTGCCAGGTTTTGCCATGCGGGTGAGATACTCTTGGTAGCTTGCCGGGCTCTCCGAGAGGGGCGGAGGAATTGAACCTGGGTCGGCCGGGTGCAGGCTATTGCTCCCGCCCTCCTTTATATTACCTCTCTTTTTTGCTGATGCTCTCTGTATTTTCTCCATTTATATTGATTTTGTTTTCAGATTCCTCAATTCTGCTGCTGTGACTTGCTACTGTACTTTCCTTGCTATTCCCTCAGCCCCTTCAGTTGGAATGAAATGAATTTAATGTTTTGCATCACATTTGTTTTCCCGAGTGAATCTCTTATTCAATGCTTTCTTCATTTCAGTACCACGAAAGAGATTATTGTTCTAAGGTCATTCTCAGGCAGTGTTGAGAATTTTGATAAACTTGAGGACTTAGCTGGGCTTCTGTCCCCATCTGCTAAAGTCTGAATTTCTTTGTTTTCTCATTACGTCTAATGATTTGTGAGCACTAGGAATGAAACTTCAAATGCAGATCCTTTGAGCAAAGATTCTGCCTGCTGCTCACTAAATCATTCTCCTACGTCTGCCTCTATTGTTTTCTGGCTACCACTGCTGTCTCATGAGGAATTTTTGGTAGAGACAGTAGGGGTGAAAGTAGGTTAAAAAAAAATCTCTTGATGGGGTCTTGTGGTGGAAGCTGGGTCTACAGAGAGACGCTGTAAATTCACAGCAGAAAGATTAAGTAGATTAAGTGTGGAGTGTAGATGGGACCTGGGGTGTGGCTGAGGACATGAGGAGAGAGCGGAGATTGACCTTGGTGGCTGCCGGGTGGAAGAGAAGGAAATCCATGCATGGAAAGGATGGACGGGGTGGGCTGCCATTAGCCGGGAAGTCAACCTCACCTGGAGAATGATGAGCAAGCAGAATGTCTGGGGTTGGATGTGAACCTTCAGAGATGGCAAAATCCATTTAATATTAAAAAGGCCCTCCCGTTGATCGTCGATTTGCTCGAGCGGGCCCAGTAACGTCTCCATTGGAGACTTTGTTGTTACTGTGTCTGGCATATCGAATACTCTCGGTAGCTTGCCGGGCTCTCCGAGAGGGGCGGAGGAATCGAACTCGGGTCGGCCATGTTGGCCGCTTGTAAGGCGAACGCCCTACCCGCTGTGCTATCGCTCCAGCTCCTTTTAATATTTAATATTTAATATTAGAACATTTTTTATTTAACAAGGATTGATTGGTGGCTTATTTCAATCCCTCTTCTAGAGCCTCCTTTGTACATTCTTCTATTAGGAAGATGTTTAGATTCAAAGTGTGTGTGTGTGTGTGTGTGTGTGTGTGTGTGTGTGCGTGCGCATTGTGTGTACGTGTGTCTGTGTTCAAATTTGGTAAAGGATTGGAAACAGAGATTTGCTCTTTAACCAAAAGTGGGTTGTCCCTTAGTTCTCCTGAATTTGTAGCACATTGCTAAGTCCAAACCTGTCATATGCAAGATTTTCATTGTGCGTTATAGAGCATTCTCTTCTAATTATTATTTAAGGGAGCAAATTTAAGTGTTGGGTGGGTCTAGGGAGCTCCTGGTAGAAGGATACCTTGAAATCACCGGTGAGTGTCTGCATAAGGGATTTCTTATCACCCCCAGGGATTTTTGATTGCAGTTGGAATTCCTGGAACCTCCTCAAAAGCCCTGGAACTAGCCTACCCTTAATCACTCATTCTTCCTGTGAATCTTCTACCGGAGGGCTTTAATAAACCTCATTTCAGCCTGATTCTCCTGGCTTCTGCTTTTTCTTTCCTTCAGCTTGTTCCCAGACCTTTCATAACATGGTAGCACTGTCATCCCATTGTTCATAGATTTGCTTGAGCGGGCACCAGTAACATCTCTATTGTGAGACTTATTGTTACAGCTTTTGGCATATCAGATATGCCACAGGGAGCTTGCTAGGCTCTGCCCTGCAGGTGGGATACTCTTGGTAGATTGCCAGGCTCTGAGAGGAACGAAGGAATCGAACCCAGGTCGGCTGCATGCAAGGCAAACACCCTACCCGCTGTGCTATCGCTCCAGCCCCAGACCTTTCATAAAGTACTTAAAATAAGGAATTTAAAATAGGAACCTGACCAACTCAAAGCAAGCTACAAGGGTGAAAAAAAGATTGAACTTGCTAGTTCTATTTCTGAGCCTTAGAATATATGACTTGAGACCCCTCGTATAAGACAATACATAGAGTGGACCCTTTCTGTTGCTAATCTCTTGCCCATTCAAAGTGGAAACTGAAAGACATGTTAATGCATCTGCATAATACTATGAATACACTGCAATTATGCTACTGACATAATCAAGATTTTTACATAACATTGAGGCAGAAACAGAGTGTGGCCATTGATGTTAAGGTTTGAGGCCCTTGTACCTTTTTCTCCTCTTCTTTTGGTGACTCCTCTTCTTTAAGAGATTCTTTGGGTTTTTCTTTCCCTTTTTTCACTCTCCCTTTGACTTGGGGAGCTACTACTATGGCAGGAATGACTGTTGGAGTAAGTGCTGACGGGATATCCAGCATTGCTTCCAAATTAGGATCTTTAACCTCTGTACACAGAAAAGAGAGACAAGTCAATGAAACATTTATATCTGATAGGATTGCTGCATCAGGTCTGCATCTCATTGAGAGATGAGCTGGCAGCAATTTTTGTATTGCAGACTAACATTTGCCAATTGGACAGATTTCCTTGTTGCCTTCTAGTTCTCACTCATCTATCTCAGTTACATTCTCTCTCTGAACTATTGTATAGCTGTCCCCAGAAATATCTAAATATATTATGTATAAACATCTACCTACATAGATCAATTCACATATTGAAAAGACATACCATGATTTTATTCATCTCAATTACTCAGTACTGGCAAGTTGCCTAACCTACAGACAGTTCTCTATATAAGTAAGTCAGAGTTGCAGGAAGTTACTCCTCTCTTCCATCTCCATCCATTTCCTTGCACAGTAAAAAATTATGAAGTACCTACTTTTATGTACCGTGAATTGAATAGCTATTGCTGAATGAGACTGCACTGTACTGCACTGCACTGTCCTCCCGCTGTTTATCGATTTGTTTGAGTGGGCCCAGTAGCGTCTCCATTTTGAGACTTGTTACTACGTTTGGCATATTGAATATGTCACGGGTAGCTTGCCAGGCTTTGCCATGCGGGCGAGATACTCTCGGTAGCTTGCCAGGCTCTCCGAGAGGGGCGGAGGAATCGAACCCGGCTTGAGAAAATTAAATAATAAGTAGTTTAGATTAACATACCATTAATAGAATGTTGAATACTGAGTTTGTTGTACAGAAAATATGGAACTCCACAGAAAATCAGAAGAAGAGGCATCTAACAGAATATTTCAGTATGACATACACTTTGGTTAGCTGAACAGTTTAATTTTCTACCAATGAGTCACTCTTCTATACTACTCAATTTTCACATTACTATTCCTGGGGTCTTGAACCCCTTTTCTTTGATTCTTTGCCTAGGTTATTCCAACTTACTCCAAAGACCCAGGTCTCTTTCTACTGTTATTTCTGTGAAGCATTTCTCACAGCAAGTACCCTATAAGCTGACATCTGAAGGATGGGAGGAAGTTTAGTTGTTGAAAGTAATGTTGTGACTGGCAGAAGAAAGTTTTCTAAGCAGCACAGTGTGAACACTGGTCAGAGATAAGGAAAAGCACATCAAAAACTAAAACAGAAAGATTGGGTACCCAAGAGGTATCAACAATTGAATAAATAAATGAATGTGTTTATAAGCGAATAATATATGTATATATACACACATACACACACTACAGATGTACATTGTCATATATCACTTACCAGAGAATTTTCTGAGAAACATGTTGCGTGATTTTGTCATTGTGCAATACCATGAGTGTAGTTATACAAAACTAGGTGATATAACCTACCACACACCTAGACTATATTGTTTTGTCTGTTTAGATATGTTATTGACTGAAAATTTCTTAAGTCATTCATCACCTTTGTTTGTATATACAATGGAATACTTACATCCTTGAAAAAGGACATTATAGGGCTGAAAATACAATACAGTGGGTCGGGCACTTGCCTTGCAAGCAGCCAACCCAAGTATGATCTCTGGCATTCCATTTGGTCCCCTGAGCATTGCCAGGAGTAATTCCTGAGTACAGAGCCAGGAGCAACCTCTGAACATTGCTGGATTCACCTCTCCCCCACCAAAAACAAACAAACAAACAAACAAACAAACAAAAAGACAGTCTGTATTATGTGAAAACATGTATGGTCCTTGAGGACACTGTGCTAAATAAAATAATTAAGTCACTGAAATATATTTACGATTCCACTTATATTAGATACCTAAACAACCAAATTAGGGGCCAAGCATTAGTACAGTGGATAGGGTACTTGCCTTGCATGTGGCCAATCCTGGTTTGATCCCTAGTACCACATATGGTGCCCTGAGCCCCACTAGGGGTGATACCTGAGGACAGAACTAGGAGTACACCCAGAGCACTGCCAGGTGTAGCTCAACAAAAACCAAAAAAGCCAAATCAACAGAATCAAAATGTAAAATGACAGTTGCCAGAGTCTGAAAAGAAAACCAAATGAGGAACTTCTAGTCAGTGAACATGATGTTTCATTTGATGAAGGTAAATAAACTTTAGAAAGCGATATATTGTCAATTGAGCATGATGGAGAACTGGATTAGAAATATGTTTAGCTATTAGCAGGTAACAGTTCTTAAATATTAATATATCCACTTAAAGAATACACTAACTAGACTATACACATTTTATTTATTTTTTTGATTAGTTATGTAGTGAACAAGTCATTATTCAGTAAACTCTTGGACTTTAATCTTACATTCTATTTATACAGTTCTTTTCAGATTTGACTGCTTTTTTAAAAAAATTCAAAATTCAAAGATTAATTCCACTTAGGCTTTTAGGTATAATCTTTGAATTTTTATAACATCTTACAGTTTCAAAGTTGTAATTCTCAGTGTATTTACTAAATGATATAATTTTATGTATCGTTTATGATCTTTTATGAGTTTCATCTAATAACAATTAAATTTTTTTTCTGAATAGGTGAAGAATACTTAAGGTTATGCTTGGCATATAGGATGAAAGTTAAATTAACATAGGGTCAAAAAGACAAAGAATTAATAGATACACGATTTATTATATCCTGTAACATAGTTTTAACAGTTTTGAGCATATTTTTGCATATTAATAAATGAGAATATCCTTGTTTTGTTCATAGTGAAATAAGTGATTTTAAATGACACTTAGAGCACTTTTTAGGAATGATAACTGCAGTTGCTTTATACTTCTCCTTACTTAAAATTTCACATAAGCCTCCAGGTGAGAAACTAGTGTCTTGTCCTAGGCATTTGTATTTTTTCTGGGTCCCTTCTTATCATTACATGAATCTCAATAAAAACATATTTTAGTATATATAATAATAGCACAGTGGTAGGGCGTTTGCCTTGCACACAGCCAACATTGCCGACCTGAGTTCAATTCCTCCGCCCCTCTCAGAGAGCGGAGAGTCCGGAAAGCTACCGAGAGTATCTCATCCGCACGGCAGAGCCTGGCAAGCTACCCGTGATGTATTCGATATGCCAAACACAGTAACAACAAGTCTCAAAATGGACATGTTACTGGACCTGCTCGAGCAAATCGATGAACAACGGGAGGACCGTGATAATAACTTCAATGGGCTTGAGTGATAGCACAGCTGGTAGGGCGTTTGCCTTGCACACGGCTGACCCGGGTTCAATTCCTCTGTCTCTCTCAGAGAGCCCGGCAAGCTACCAAGAGTATCCCGCCTGCACAGCAAAGCCTGGCAAGCTACCCGTGACGTATTTGATACGCCAAAAGCAATAACAACAAGTCTCACAATGGAGACATTGCTGGTGCCTGCTTGAGCAAATCAATGAACAATGGGATAACAGTGCTGCAGTGCTACAGTGGTACGCATTTTAAAATGCAGTACTTATACTGAAATTAGAAACATTTATTTTAGATGGAATGACTGCATATTAATTTAAGGAATAAAAAAATAAGGAAAGTATTTAGGAAATATATCACAGTTGATAGGATATAAATATTTGAATCTATTATATGAATCTATAATAATGATATGGGCTGGAGCAATAGCACAGTGGGTAGGGCGTCTGCCTTGCACGCAGCCAGCATGGCCGACCCGAGTTCAATTCCTCTGCCCCTCTCGGAGAGTCCGGCAAGCTACCGAGAGTATTCGATATGCCAGACACAGTAACAACAAAGTCTCCAATGGAGACGTTACTGGGCCCGCTCGAGCAAATCGACGATCAACGGGAGGGCCTTTACCTTTACGTTTTACCTTTAATAATGATATGCTCAAGGATTATTCCTGGCTCTATGCTCAGGGATCACTCCCCACAGGGCACTGGGCCCATATGGGATGCCAGAGATTAAATCTGGTCAGAGACTTCAGTTGTTCTATCTCTCTGGCTGCTATGATAAAACAGTTTTAAAATACATGACTTTTCATATATTTAATATTGCAATAACACGGAAATAAAGAAATTTCTGCATTTAAAATATTTCACAATATAATTTATTACTAAATCACAAAATCACAAATCACAAATCATCTTGTTATTCGTCAATTTGCCTCGAGCAGGCCCCAGTAACGTCTCCTTCATCCTAGCCCTGAGATTATATTCAAGGCTCTTTAGGAGAATGAGACCCATCATTGTTAATGGTATTTGGCACATTGGGTACGCCACGGGGAGTTTGCCAGACTCTGCCGTGTGGGCAGGCTACATTCGGTGGCCTGCCAGTTTGTCCAAAGTAGGAATGAGATAATAAGATGTCATAATAAGATGTCCGGGAGCTGGTTTTTATAGTCTCTGAGTCTTGGCCGTTGATGGGATTACACGGCGCCAGGGGGCCAGTTGGTGGGTGTGACCCCCGCCTACTGGAATTTGGAGGATCTGGGTGGAGGATGCTCGGCCCCAATCCGAGTAGGCTTGGAGATCTTGGCCCCAGAAATCCGCGTGGCTTTGTCCCTCTGCCAGTACCTTCATGTGTGTGGAGAGTGGTCTCAGTATGGTGGTGGCTGGTCCTGGAGGTCTTCGGCTGCCGGAGCCCTGGTCGGGACGGGGAGGAAAGCTCAACCCGCTCCCCTCCAAGGGGCCCCGACGAGGACAGCCAGGAGCGGGGGCAGGAGACTGCCATTACTAAATAAATGATTCAATAAAATATGCTCTATAATTTTCAAAAAAAACTATAATAATGATAATCTATGTTCAGAAGAAACAGTAGTTTTGTTTTAAGTCATATTTTTGTTTTAGGTCATAGCCAGTAGTGCTCAGAGCTTGTTCCTAGCTCTTGCTCAGGGGACATTCCTGGAGGGCATGTGGGACCATATGGAGTATCAGGGATCAAACCTGGGTTGGCTGCATGCAAGGCAAGTACTTGACCCACTGTACTATGACTCTGGCCCTGAGAGGTAGTAATTTTTAATGACAATTTGGTAGACAATTTTTATAAATAATCTGTTAGGTATCAAGTGACTTCTCCAAGTGCTGGTTAAAAATAAATCAAATATAAGATGAAAAGACAACTTCCCCCACTCCAAATACAAGTGTATTTACCGGTCTGTGTAATTAACTAGAGTGTTACAATATTTGGTCCAAGGTAATAATAATAATAAAGACCCATGGGAATGTAGCCTCTGCAGGAAAGAAACTACAATATACCCAATAATTGGATCACCATGATCTACACTAGCACACAGTTTTTTTTTGGTAATACAATACTTAATATTTATTTTATTTTTTTTTATCATTTTTTTATTAGTGAAACACCATGAGGTACAGTTATAGAATTATAAATTTTTGTGCTTGGGTTTCAGTTATACAATGATCAAATACCCATCCCTCCACCAGTGCCCATCCTCCACCACCACGGGTCCCAGCATCCCCCCCACCCCCCACCCCCCCCCGTCCCACCCTGCCGCTGTGGCAGGGCATTCCCCCTTGTTCTCTCTCTCTTCTTTTGGGTACTGTGTTTTGCAAGAGAGGCATTGAGTGGCAATCATGTTTGGTCTATAGACTACTTTTAGCATGTCTCTCCCACCCTGGGAGGTCCTCACAACACCCTTTATTTGGTGCTCTCTTCTCTATCTGAGCTTCCTTTTCCCCTAGCACATGTGGCTGGCCTTCCAGTCATGGAGCAAAATTCCTGGTACTAATCTCAGCCATTCCTGGGTGTTAGTCTCCCGTTTTTTTGCTTTATGTTCCCCAGATGAATGCAATCTTTCTGTGTCTATCCCGCTCTTTCTGACTCATTTCGCTTAACATGATACTTTCTATGTAGTACCACTTGTATGTAAATTTCATAACGTCATCTTTTCTAACAGCTACATAGTACTCCATTGTAGCACACAGTTTTAAGGTCACACAGTAGAGAGATTACCTTTATGTTTTGTGAGCAAAATATATTATATTTTGTATCTTATATTTTAGTATGGTGTACTTAGATTATAAAATACTTATAAAATATAAAGTACTCTATATTTTAGTATGGTGCAGTTAGATTTCTATAAAATGCATGAGAATCAGCATTTTCTAATTATTTCTTGGTAAAGTGGTGTATTTGAACATGGGACCTCTCGCACCCTAAGCGAGAATCATACCCCTAGACCAACGATAGCACAGCAGGTAGGGTGTTTGCCTCGCATGTGGCCGACCCGGGTTTGATTCCTCGGTCCCTCTCGGAGAGCTCGGCAAGCTTCGGAGAGTATCCCGCTTGCAATGCGGAGCTTGGCAAGCTCCCCGTGGTGTATTTGATATGCCAAAAACAGTAACAACAAGTCTCACAATGGAAATGTTACTGGTGCCTGCTTGAGTAACTTGATGAACAACGTGAGGACAATGCTACAGTACAGTGCATTTTATATACATATATATGTATATATACATGTGTATGTGTATATGTATATATGTGTGTGTGTGTGTTTTAAAATTAAAGCAATAAATTTGGTCTCAACTTCCCCACATTTGAAAGTACACTAAATGTACACACACACACACACACACATACACACACACGTAAGTAAATGCTGATTAAATTGTCAAGGCCCAGGACTGGAAAGATAGTTTAATGGACCGAGTGAAGGCTTTGCATATTGAGAGGCTGTGACTAATGCCCGGCACTACATGATCCCCTTGGCAACTCTAGGACTGACCCCCAAGCACAGACAGAGCCCAAGTACCCTATGTAAGCATGGGGGGGTGTGGCCTTCAAACAAAAGAACTGGCAAGCTACTACCACTATTTTAATGTGTGAAATAATATATATGCACACATAACATGAATGTGTATACACATACGTGTATACCAATACACACACGCATGTTTCCACACTTCAGGAAAGAAGGAGTTTTAGTTAGAGCCTGATACCAACAAGTGACTGACAGGATGGGCAGACAGGCCTGGACAAGGAACACTTAATCCTCCCCGTGGTGTTTTTTTCACCTGGAGCTAGTCCACTTGATCCATAGTAACTTATTGAGAGGCAGATTCCATTTTCCAAGGTGGCAGAAAAAGATCCAAACTTGCTGATAATTTTATTTTTTGCATGAATTTCTTCTAAAATACAAAATTAAAAATCAAGTCTATTTCTATTTACTTGAAGAGAAATGTTCCAAAATTTAGCACAAAACTTGAGGACTTAGTCCCTGTCGTGTCTGCTAGGCAGTTAGAGGTAGGGGGAGTTAGAAAGAAAATATGAGACCCTTGTTTTAAGAGTTTTAGGTTCAAATGAAGAAAGAAAACAAACTGGTTGATGACCTAGTCACTGCAGATCACTTATCTGGTAGACAATCTACAAAAGTTTTAATTAAAGCAATCAGTTTAGTATTAATTTTCCCACATTTGGAAGTACATTGTAAAATTTCCCCTAACCCCATTTAAGAGTCTTCACATTTCAAATTATAATTTGTTTGGTTTTGGGGCTACACCCAGGGGTTCTTAGGACTTGCTGGGGGCATTACACTCAGGGATCATTTCCGGCAGGCCTGGGGATTGAACAAGAATTGGTCCCATGCAAGGCAAATGCCCTACCTGCATACTATCTCTATAGCCCTGCAAAGTACATTTTAGAATAGTTTAAGTGAAACATAATTTAAAAGAAAAATGTTTAACCGCACATTGAGATTTTTGTGGACTTTCAGTTTTGATGTTTTATTTCTTGTTATCTATTTTCAGTACTTTCATATAATCGATACAGCACAATGGTAGATATAAGTGTATATAGGACAAATAGTTCAAAATATCCTGACTTCCAAAGATATAATTTTTAGAATGGGGAATTTAAATGATCCTTGGAACAAAAATAGTGTGGATCAAAGTGTAGCAAAAGAAGTGTCTTTTATATATTATTTTTTAATTATTATTATTTTTTTGCTTTTTGGGCTGGAGCGATAGCACAGCGGTAGGGCATTCGCCTTACAAGCGGCCAACATGGCCGACCCGAGTTCGGTTCCTCCGCCCCTCTCAGAGAGCCCGGCAAGCTACCGAGAGTATTCGATATGCCAGACACAGTAACAACAAAGTCTCCAATGGAGACGTTACTGGGCCCGCTCGAGCAAATCGACGATCAACGGGAGGGCCTTTACCTTTACCTTTTACCTTGGGTCACACCTGGCAGTGCACAGGGTGTGCTCCTGGCTCATGCACTCAGGTATTACTCCTGGCGGTGCTTAGGGGACCATATGGGATGCTGGGAATCGAACCCGGGTCAGTCACGTGCAAGGCAAACACCCTACCCTCTGTGCTATTGCTCCAGTCTCGTTTTTATACATTATTTATGACAGCATGTGGTGGTAGAAATGGTAGCAAAAACTTGAAAATAATCCATTTAAGGGAATCCAGTGAACAGAAAATAAAAACAGGGGTCAGAGCAACAGTATAGTAGGTAGGGTGATTATCTTGCACATAGCTGACCTGGGTTCAATCCTAGGCACCTCATTTGGTCCCCTAGTTCATGAGGAGTGATCTGAGCACAGAGCCCAGAGTAGGCCCTGAGCACCACCAAGTATGGCCCTTAACCAAATGAAACAATACATAACAAAACCCAAACAAAAATTAAATAAAAACAACACATGCACAAAAAATACAAAAATTATATGAGACAAAGAAGCTTGGACTTTGTTTTAAAACACTTAGGATGTTTCAAAAATCATTTTCGAGTACTTAAAAACAAACTTCCCCAATTAAAGCAAGATTTTGGAGGGTTTTTTTTTTTTCTGAAAACCAGTATAAACCCTGAATGGATGTTTAAACATAAGGTAGTTATAAAGTAGATAAGAGACTTGAAGGATAAATCTATGCAAATTATAGGTACTGCAGATGGAAAAGAGAACAAATGGAAGAGAAAAAAATAAATACCTAAAGAAACATGTTCTAGACTGAAGTAGGAAGTAGTTTCAGATTAGAAGGATTCACTCAATTTCAATTTCGAATGACGAGACAGCGTAGTAATATGAACCATAAAGGAAAAAAAGATGATTTAGAAGCCTATATTGAGCACTAGTGATATGCACCTTTAAGAGGATATGCAATCATGTGTCCCATTTGAGGAGGAAACTGAGAAAGAAATCAACAGGAAATATCCGGAGTAGAACCCTTATGTGAAAGAGGAAAGAAAGCAAAGGCAGTTACTGCTTCCGGGTCTGTCTCTCACCACCTTCCTCCCTTCCTGCCTGCCCATTTGCTCTACATTTATCTAGATTAGACACTTCTCTTTTCTGAAATTGTGTGTTACAAGGGTTGATGTGTTTGTTACTGGGCCCGCTCGAGCAAATCGATGAACAACGGGAGGACAGTGACAGTGACAGTGTGTTACAAGTTTCTCAGGCCTCATATGATTCCTATCACATATTCTCCTTTTTTTTCTGACTTTATTTTGTACCTGTATTTTAGCAACCTTAAAAAGTGTAAAAACTACTCTTGGGTTATAAAAAACTGATCATTAAAAATTGGGCACTCTTGTGGAATTGTAACTGAAGTTGGAAAAAAAAAGATAATTTGACTAATGACTAAGTTTAGGGATAAAAATTGGCAATCACGGGGCTGGAGTGATAGCACAGCGGGTAGGACGTTTGCCTTGCACGCAGCCAACATGGCCGACACAGGTTCGATTCCCAGCACCCCATATGTTTCCCCGAGCACCGCCAGGAGCGATTCCTGAGTGCATGAGCCAGGAGTAACCCCTGAGCAATGCAGGGTGTGATCCAAAAAGCAAAAAAAAAAAAAAAGTCAATCACCTAAGCATGTAAAGAAAACAAATTTCAAAAAAATGTAAATGTATACTTAGAAACAGACATATTTATAAATATACCTAAAATATAATTAGATATGAATTGTATTAATCTATAAAATCATTCAAATGATTAAATGATTTTACATAAGTACATACCAAAGAGTATTATGGAAAATTTGAATACATATTTTTAAAAAATACTAATATATACAAAAATGTTTATGATTATAAAGAGTTTATAAATGGTAGCTACTGATAGGTTATAAAATTATAGGTATATATTTAAATATTCTTATATTTTTTGTAATAAACCAAATATTAAAAATATTTTATTTAATACATTTATTTAGATTTTTAGGCCACACCTGTTAGTGCTCAGAAATTACTCCTTCAGGATCACTTCTGGTGGTTCTCTGGGGATCATACTGGGTGCTGGAATTGGCCACATATGAGGCCTGCTTTACAATCTATGTTGGCCACATATGAGGCCTGCTTTACTACCTGGCCCCAAAAACCAAAAATTTTTTCAAAATGAAAAGTATATTTAAATACTTAAAATTTTAAGTGCCTGAAGTTTGTTTAAATTCAGACTTTTGAAACATTGTGTTGTTGAGTTTGAAAAGTGCTGTGATCATAACTAACTGTAATAATAAAGATTGAGTTGATTTTATTAATTTTAGTCTCAAACATTTATTATCAATTAAACCTCCTTTTGTAAATACAATCCATGTTTTATTGAACAAGAAAAGATTTCTCTAGCTGATATTACCTGGATTTGTTCAATGTTCAAGAAGTTCCATGGTGTTTTATCGATGGACAATTAGATTTAAAGACAGGTCAAGAGTCTTGTCAAATTTATATTTTTTGTATCCCTGAAACCTAAGAAATTTGATTCTATAGGGAGAGCTAAGTAGTAGAGGACAGAAAAAAAAAACCATCATTTGCAGTGAATATTAGAGTAAAGCTAAATCTGGGTAGGAATCAAGTAACGAGAACCCAGGTCCTAGATCTTACGTTTGAATTAACTGCATAAAACAAAATTTTGGCTAGAACAGATACTGCAAACTCAATGTTTCTATAAAGACATAAAAAAAATCACAGGATGGGGGCTGGAGTGATATCACAGTGGGTCTCACATTTGCCTTGCACGCGGCCAACCCGGGTTCTATATACAGCATCCCTTATGGTCCCCTGAGCACCGCCAGGAGTAATTCCTGAGTTCATGAGCCAGGAACAACCCCTGTGCATCACCAAGTGTGTCTCAAAAAAGAGGAAAAAAAAATCACAGGGCTAGGTAAGCTTTGTATGGCAACAGGAAGAAAGAGCCAGGTGCTGACAGGGAGTCAAGGTCAAGTAGGGAGTCTACTTATACATCTCCATGTTAGATAGCCTCTAGATATAATGCATGTACACTTTACATTAGGGAATTATATAAGCCATTTATCTAACGTTCCCAAATTCCCATGAATATATAGAAAATTTCTACATCCTAAGTGGAATGGATGGAGTGTTTCTTTCCAGAGGAGAGATCTGAAACATTAAATATCAATCTCCATCAGTCACAAAGATACAGCTTCTTACCCATTTCAAGACTTTGTTCTTCTTTCTCTTCTTGGGAAATATCACCACCATCATCATTATCATCATCTTGTGTTTCCTCTTTCACAATTTTCTTGGGGTCTCTTAAATGAACTACAAAACTGTGCTTGTCCTTGTTCACCTTAACTTTGACAAAAGTTGAACCTGGAAAAAAATTATGGTGAGAAATGAGCTGAATACGCCCTAAAACACCTTGACATGACTTCTACATAGTGCAATGTAGAATTTAAACTAGGTAAAACCTCGTGATGGCATTTTTAATTTTTTTAAATAAAAGAATTTCCAAAGTAGTGTAATGAAGGGTGCAGAGGTAAGTGGGACAGGGAATTACAGGAGACACAGTAAATAAATTGGTTGAGGCTAACATTAATCTGTATTCAACTTTATGACATAGTTACTGTGAATGGGTGTTGCAATGAACAGAGTTAACCAAATGTTATGGTTGTTGTTAGTGGATATAGTTTAGAATTTTCTTTAACACAGTATCTTTTCTAGTCTTCTCACTGATTTTTTGTCCTCTCAACTTGTTTTTTTAATAACTGAAGTAACACTTATTTACAATATGATATAGGTTTCAAGTATACATTTTTTTATAACTCAATATATGTATATACTATGTTTGCTACCAATTTCTTTTTAAATCCAGTTTTTCTTTTCAGCTCTGAGCAACCATATCTCAAAAATTGAAAGAATTAGGTTTCAGACTCCGTTTACTCTGAACAATCTGGAACATACATGCATTACATGAATGTACAACTATTGATAAGAGCAAGGGTCAATTATTGAGACATGCCATAGTATTTCACACAACTTGAGTTGTGTGCTTTTCTCATGGAATTCTGGGCTTCACTTTTAATCAATGCTAATTGTATCCTATAAGCAGGGCACAACATTAAAATGTGAAATGCTAAAACACGTGATAACGTAAATAAACATGCACACTGATATATTAAAAATCCCTCTCACATTAAATCACTGTTGTGATCTTTTGGTCAATGTGCGGTCACTATATTGTAATGCTTTTACTTGAGTTATGATTTCACACAGGACACATCTAGCTTTTGCAATGATTGCCTCATGAAATATTCACTGATGACCACAAATGAAGAGAAGAAAGTTAAATGAAGATGGGGGGAGGATTGGGAAACAAAAGGGGTGGACTGCTACCATGGGAATAAAGAGGATTGGGGCTGGAGGGACCTTTTTGGCCCTTGCCCAGGTGCACAGTCTTGAGTACACTCAGCAGAGGCCTGTCCCCATTTCCCCCTTCCTGACATCTTCACAGCACTCAGAGGTCACTGCTCCCTATCAGGCAATCAGCTGTGAAATAGAGCGTAGGTCCTTGAATCCATGGGAGGGCTCATTAAGCACAGCATAAAGGTAATCCTGCAAGATGCCTCCAGAAGCCCAGATCATTTCTCCTACTGCAGAGAATTAAACATTTCTTACAAGGAAATTCCAGACTAGAATTTCCTCAGCTTATTGCCAGGTCACAATTTCCAAGGAAAGACGTCTGGATCCAGAAGAAATTTCTCTGCTGCTATAACCTGCCACAAGCAGAAGCCCCCAGCCTCTACGCTCTAGAACCTCAACTAGAAACATGCAATGTACCTTTGACAAATGTTGTCTTTTCTACTTCAATCTGTCCTCCATCTGAAGGATATAGATAATATTTTGTCCCGGAGATTTGGATAGGTGTGTCTCCCATATTGTAACCATGAAACTAGAAAAAAAAATAGTTTTGGTGTGAAACTAGAATTGGCAAAAATCGAACGCTATCAGTGTAGTCAGTCGCTTGGTACATCCAGTGTTAGCATCTATGTCCTCCTTCAGTTCCTCCTGTGGCTCTGCAATGAAGGCAGAATCAAGGGAGGTCTGGGGGCTGGGAAATTATACCGTGGTTAAAGCGTGAGACCACAAATTTGATCCTTAGTGCGGTTCACATGTGCCAAGTGAGATCTTGAAGCTGTTGTTTTCTTTTGTGTGTGTCTGGCAGCTGTGCTGTCAGTGGTCCCCACTACTGTATACAATTTGGGGGCTGCACCGGGGCCAGGTACCTGCGGGCACTGCAACTATTGGGGACAGCTTCTCTCTGTCCCCTCACCCCTGCCTCACCCTATAAGCATAATAACTGCAAGTTATGTGCAAGCACCATGACCAGGACTGTGACTCCCTGGTGAACACATATGCAAACACCACAGGTAGAAAGTAATCTCCGGTAAGCATCCCACCCAAATGTGTGGACACCGATCAAGTATCTGTATGACCCCTGGTCATCATAAAAACAGGAAAGGAAAGGGGGAAAGGTCAAGAAAGGTCATCTGTGGTTTTATACTCTGTTCACTGAAGTATCCTCAGAATCCAGTTCAAATCCAAGTGTTGTTGTATAGTCAAAGAAGTGTGAAAGTGAACTTTTCTTATTCATTAGCTGATAACTTGATTTTTGTTTTTGTTTTTGCTTTTTGGGTCACACCTGGTGATGCACAGGGGTTACTCCTGGCTCATGCACTCAAGAATTACCCCTGGTGGTGCTCGGGGGACCATATGGCATGCTGGGAATTGAACCCGGGTCAGCTGCTTGCAAGGCAAATGTCCTAGCCGCTCTGCTATTGCTCCAGCCGTAGTTGTTAATTTTTTAAAAATTAATTGACATATTAAGGAGTCTTGGAATTTTACTCTCTAGAACAGGGGTGGGGACCGTTTTACTGCCAACGACCACTTTGGTACTTATGACGGCATACATGGCTATACAGTACAGGCATATAAGCCGTGGGCAGTCTGGAGGAGCGTACATGTCTATTCCTTCATACACTAGGGCCAGGCCACATGAACATGAAGGTTTATGAGGTCCACGGGCCAGACATTTCCCACTCCGACCAAAGAAAGAAATGCATAGAAAGAGTTTTTACCAAGTTTTGCTAATAGGGTTTTGAATGATTCTGATGTAAGCAGAGATAGATAGCTTAGAGTAGTAGGGAGAAAGACCAGGGGCATTTATTTTTATTCTTTTCTTCTAATGACATTTTGTTCATTTTTACCACTATATTAGGGCTGGAGTGATAGCACAGTGGGTAGGGTGTTTGCCTTGCATGTGGCTGACCCAGGTTCGATTCCTCTGTCCCTCCCGGAGAGCCTGGCAAGCTACCAAGAGTATCCCGCCCGCACAGCAGAGCCTGGCAAACTTCCAGTGGTGTATTCAATATGCCCAAAACAGTAACAACAAGTCTCACAATGGAGATGTTACTGGTGCCCACTTGAGCAAGTCGATGAACAACGGGAGGGCAGTGCTTCAGTGCTATAGTGCTACCACTATATTATTCTCATAAATTGATTAAGGGAGCTCTTGAGTTAACTAAAGGTCCTTTCAAAGTTCTATAATGTGAGATACAACCAGTTGTCATCCACTTTGACCTTTTTCAGTTGCTTATTTCATTATTACATGTAATAATGAAAACTTTTTCTTTGCTTGTTTTGGGGCCCTACTCAGTGCTCAGATCTTTTTCCTGGCTCTGCAGTCAGGAAGCTCTCCTGGTGGAGTGCTGGGGATGAACCCCTGGTCAGTTTCATGCAAAGCAAACATCTTGATAATCTGCTCCAGACCCTAAATAAATGCTTTTGTGCTAAATTTCATCTTTGGTCTCCTTTATAACCTGGTTTTATTTCACTCAAGAGAAACTGGCCTGAAGCTCAGTTCTTGGATGTAAGAGAAGGTCTGTGATACCAAGAGTGAGTCACAGGTCTGAGATTATCTATCTATACCAGAAGAAACCAGAAGAAATCCTCTGGGAACCCTTCCACTTAGGAATGAACCAAACAGCTATTTCAGAAAATTGATTTTACCGGGAAGGTGACCTCAGCTTGTGGGATATCAGGCAGCTCTTCAAATTCTGGGATCTTCATGGGCTCATCTCTACTTTTATCCTTGTTATAAGATTTTTTCCTCACATTCTTGGCCTCTTCTTTTTCTAACTTTTCTTTGCCTTTCTTCTTACCAACTTCCTTTTTCTTTTCTGCTTTTTTTTCTTCCTTTAAACGTTCCTCTTCCGCTAATCGTTCTTGTTCTTCTTTCCATGCCTATAAATATATGAAAAAAATGAATAAGATTTTGAAATAAATAAAGCCTTATTTATATTTATTTCAAAGGACATGTAACATGATTTCTGTAAGTACTATCTCTGTCAAATCACAGTTCTGAACCTGGAAAAGTTGGGAGGGGGCTCCTCAACTTTCTCTCAGTAGAGGCTACCAATATCCTTCACAGCTATCTCCACTTCAGCGTTTTCACTCACCTTATGTCACCACTTACTTTAGTTCTTTCTATCTTTAGCCTAAACTATTGCTTCAGGCTTCTCTCTGGTCTCCAGGCCTTTCCCTCCAGGTGAACAAGTCTCAATTTAGGTTGTAAACATGGCTTATTAAAAACTGTGGTAGGCCAGGTGTTCATAAAATAGGAAGCATAAAATATTTTTTAAATGATTGCAATATAAAAACATTATTTAAAAACGAAAACAAGGGCTGGAGTGATAGCACAGCGGGTAGGGCGTTTGACTTGCGCATGTAGCCAACATGACGGACACAGGTTCGATTCCCAGCACCCCATATGGTCCCCTGAGCACCTCCAGGAGCAATTCCTGAGTGCATGAGCCAGGAGTAACCCCTGAGCATCACCAGGTGTGACCCAAAAAGCAAAAAAAAAAACCCCAAAAACAATATAAAATTACATTACAGGGGCTGGAGCGATAGCACAGCGGGTAGGGCATTTGCCTTGCTTTCAGTCCCTGGCATTCCATATAGTCAGTCCCCCAAGCACCGCCAGGAGTAATTCCTGAGTACAAAGCCAGGAGTAACCTCTGAGCATTGCTATGTGTGACCCAAAAAGAAAAAAAATTACATTACAATGTAATTCTATATGGCTGGAGAGATAGCACAGAGCACAGCGGGTAGGGCATTTGCCTTGCATGCAGCTGACCCGGGTTTGATTGCTCCATCTGTCTTGGAGAGTCCGGCAAGCTACCTAGAGTATCCCACCCATATGGCAGAGACTGGCAAGCTCCTTGTGGTGTATTCGATATGCCAAAAAAAGTAACGACAAGTCTCACAATGGAGACGTTTCTAGTGCCCACTCGAGCAAATCGATGAACAATGGGAGGACAGTGCTATACAGTGCTATAACGTAATTCTATCAAGGATGGTTGGGCTGGAGCGATAGCACAGCGGGTAGGGCGTTCGCCTTACACGCGGCCAACATGGCCGACCCGAGTTCGATTCCTCCGCCCCTCTCGGAGAGCCCGGCAAGCTACCGAGAGTATTCGATATGCCAGACACAGTAACAACAAAGTCTCCAATGGAGACGTTACTGGGCCCGCTTGAGCAATCAAGGATGGTGGTAGCGAGTGCATGAAAGTACAGGGAGAGAGGCAAGCACTGGAGATAGCAATTTTTAGCAGATATGTTCATGTAGTCTGGAATCAGGGGTTTAATGGAATTACAGTGACGACAGATATAACTGGGAGATCAGATATAGGACATCTGGACAGAAGACAAATACACATGTGTATACGTATCTATCTAAAGAGAGAGACAAACTGAAATGACGCAGTTACAACAGTGTTCATGTTTATGCTTTTGGTATACAAAATTACTATATCTTCACCAACACCAAAGTGTCGAAGACTTCCCACCACTGGTTTTAGGTCACTTTTAGTCTGCCTCTTGGTTCCCTACCTTCACCTCTGCACCCTACCCTCCAATCGGGGCTGGAGCGATAGCACAGCGGTAGGGCGTTTGCCTTACAAGTGGCCAACACGGCCGACCCGAGTTCGATTCCTCCGCCCCTCTCGGAGAGCCCGGCAAGCTACTGAGAGTATTCGATACGCCAAACACAGTAACAACAAAGTCTCCAATGGAGACGTTACTGGGCCCGCTTGAGCAAATCTCTTTCATAAATGAAATTTATTTATGGTATAGGTATCTCGCATTTTAAAAAACAATTTTTATTGAAATAATAGGATTTCAATATTATTAACCACACTTTTCATGGATACATCATTCCAATACCACACCCATCACCAAGGTCATCCACTTCCTTCCATCAGACTCCCAAGGACATCTCCCACCCTGCTCTCCCCATGTAAGCTCAGTTCCATGTGCAAAAATCTTTAGTTCTAATAACTTTAACTACTTGGTATTCCTTCACTATGTTTCTTTTTAAAATCTCATATATTTGGTATCTCTCTCTCTCTCTCTCTCTCTCTCTCTCTCTGTGTGGAGGTGGTAATACCTACACTCAGAAGTGAATCCACAAACTTTAAAATCAATGATGAACTGATAATTTTTTTCCAAAACTATTTTTACAGGTATTTAAAAATTAATCTGTCACTGTCACTGTCCTCCCATTGTTCATCGATTTGCTCTAGCAGGCCTAGTAACATCTCCATTGTGAGACTTATTGTTACTGTGCTTGGCATATGGAATACGTCATGGGGAGCTTGCCAGGCTTTGTCGTGCGGGCAAGATACTCTCGATAGCTTGCTGGGCTCTCCGAGAGGGGCGGAGGAATCGAACCTGGGTTGGCCAGGTGGGCCGCGTGTAAATAAAAATTAATATTATGAATAATTCTGTGCTAATACATTGTAGCATTTACATGAAATAGATAAGAACTACAAATGTAAAATTTATTAATATTTTGCTTCAGTTTTACAAATGTAAAATTTGTAAATTTTACAATTTACAATTTTTAAAATTTGTACATTTTTCAAATGTAAAATTTAGTAATATTTTGCTTCAGTTTTCCTTTGAGTTAACTAAGTTTCTCTTCCAGAGTTTTCTTCATTTCCTCTCCCATCATGAAAGTGTTGCTCTAAGGTCCTCGTCAATGTTTTGATGGGCCTGAAGATACTCCTGGACTTTTATCCCCTTGTGACTTAGAAGTTAGTTTCCTTGGGTTTTTCACTGCTCTGTGTTTTCTGGGTGGTAACTGTTGAGGTGGAAGTGGAGAAAAGTTCCAAGTAATAGACAAACACACATATGCTGGTAGCTTCAGTGGGAGTGGCCGGGACCAGGGCTTCCCTGGTGTCTAGGACTAGTGGTACGGGTGGGAGAGGTCTCTTGAGGCAAAGACATGGGTCCAACCAGAGATGTCAACCTGGATCCAGTGCAGTTGCTGGTGTAGGCTAGATGGGAGGGAATAGGACTCATTGGTGCAAGGGAGACAATGAATAGTGGGTCCCATGATTTCAAAGGGGAGAGTCATTGGTTTGGCTGAGTCTGCAGTGAACCCCATGTTTCTTCCACTAGTGTATTAATGTGTGGGATTGGTCCACAGTACTTATTCAGGAATGAGTTCTTCAACGGCTTCTGGCCTTGGGGTTCTTCTAACACAAATCTGAATAGGAGCTAGCAGAGACAGCTTGCCTTCCAGCCTCCAACCAACCTGGAAGCCCTAAATGTGTCATTATTTGTAAGTTGTATACTATATATATTACACCCAGAAAAAAAGTGTAATAAAATCACGTACATATGTATCCATTGGGGCTGGAGCAATATCACAGAGGGTAGGGCGTAACCATTATTTATATAAGTATTTTTGTATTTATCATATCATATGTACTTGTATAGAATGCATCTATTTTCCTAGAGCACTACTACAAAATATTTACCAGTACAACCCGGTTCGAAATAGCTACAGAGGGAAAAATAAACTTTAGGAGACACTGAAGAAGTAAAGTTTGTTTTAGAACCACAAAGTTAATTTAAATATATCAATAAGGGAAAAATCAACAGATATGTTTTCACACCAACAGACACTTAAAACTAATAAATTAAAGCTTAAAGATCTGCAGTATAATTTGCTTCACCATTATGATCAAAATCCCAGGGATGGAGGCTAACTATTATTAATCAGTATTGTTATGAAGTTAGTTGCATTTTTAAGGGTAAGTATAGATCAGATTTTGATTACCTAATATTAATTCACACAACAAAGCTACTACAACTATAACAGTATTGTTTTTTCACACAAATAAATAATGGGTTAAAAATAAACAGATATTCTAATATATGGAATAGTCAATATACCACTTCAGTGGGGGAGATGATGTTTTAGTTAATTAATTGGCAGTAATGAGAGCCCTTTGAGAAAAATAAGCAAGGAGACTTAGATTGTAAAATAAAAAATTAATTTCTGAGTGGTTAGACATATATACATAAAATATTTTTTGAAAATATTTTAAAAGGCTACATGAAGATTAATATATGATAACGTTGGAATCAATCTTATGGAACCAAAAACATAGAATCCCTGAAAAACATTTAAAAATGGTACACTTTTAAATGTTTTTGATGAATTATAACATACATGCAAAAACAATGCATACAAGTGCAGGAGAGATAGTACAGTGGGTAACATTATTGCTGTGCATGTGGTCAACCCAAGTTTGATCTCTGGCACCACATATGGTTCCCTTAACACCACCAGGTGTGAGCCCTGAACACAGAAACAGAGGTAAGCCTTGAGTACAGCTGGTGTGTCCAAAAACAACAACAAAAAAGTGCATATCTTAAGGGAATAAATAATTCAGTAAATTAACATGAAGCAAACACTTGGGCAACCACCACCAAGACAAGAAATTAGAGCATCTTCCAATCCCCAAAAGCCCTCCTCATGCTGCTTACAAATCATTCCCTATTCCTACTGCCCAAAGGCTGTCACTATCCTGTATTCTAAAAGTAAAACATTATTTCCTGTTTTTTTTTAAATTTAATCATTGTGAGATACACAATACACAGTTACAAAGCTGTTGATGCTCAGGTTTCAGTCATACAGTATTCCGACAACATTGACCTGTTTTTAAACTGTATGTAAACTATAAAAGTATTCTAGGCCAACGCCACCGCCTTGCCCCCCGCCCCAGGTCTGTGAATGTCCTGGACCACCATTCCCGTGCCTGTGCCCTCGGACCCACTCGGCTGCCTGGACCGCCATCCTGCCCATTGGCGCATGCCATTTATCAATACCACTTCCTTGTTTTCTGCACCAGGTCTGTGACCCCCCCACCCCCATACTTACAGCGCAG